TTTCTGATTAGATGAGTTATTGTCGGCTACCAATTTCAAAGTGAAATCCTTGATAATTAAGAAAAAAACAATCTCAGAACTTGATTGTTTCCTATGAAAGGATGTGTATATGCATATATGAGTTAATCTCTTAGCGTGCCAGACAATTATTTTAGACAATTTGACTCACTCAACCAAGCTTGGCGTTTTATGTGTGGATTGTGTGGAGCAATCCACACTCCAAAATCAGGTGGGTGTGGATTTCGATAGGCCAAAAAAATCCACACCCACGTAAATTATCTACAGAGATTTAGCGGAAGCTGTAATGGATGACATTGATAAATTATTAAATAAATTTATAAGTAGAAATAATTATAAAGCATCCACGTTTTTTATTATAAAAAATAAATAATTAAATGTTAAAAGAAAAAATTTGTGTACTTGAAAATTTTATCAACTACTGGTGGAGTGGGCAAAGTGGAGGGGGAGAAGATTTTTCATCAAAAATTTCCACAGTATTCCACACCCAAAGCCGAGACAAATGGCTGGGCCTGTACTCAACGCAGAACGAGAATCGTGATAGGATTGACTTATAGCCTATAGGATTTATAAAATTTAGACTTATTTTAATTTTTTCTTTTTTTAAATCTTATGAACTTCCATTTCAGATGTATGACTGTTTTAATATATTTATTCAATTTTACTTTGGACATCACACTGTTTTGCGTTCATTTTATTGCTTTTACCGATTTGACTTTATAACACTGTTTAATTTATTTATTTATATTAACCTATTTATCAGTATATGTCTTAATCTTCCGACGATTAGACACATGCCAGACATATGTCAGTTCCATTACTGATATCATGTATATCCTTTATATTCGTTTGTCAGCGATCATGCAGATCGACTGATCTCACATATCTTTTCATTTCCCCAAATTTTTATCACGATTCTCGTTTTGTGTTGGATGAGTCAAATTGTATAAAATAATCTGGCACGCGAAGAGATAAGATTAACTCATATATGCAGGGCCGACGCATATAAGCGAACTAGACGGTCGCCTAGGGCGGCAAAATCCGGAGGGCGGCATTTGTGATCGCTCCGCTTTAAACGCATCGGCCACAATTCAAAGTTTTGCGCGTAAAGACGCTTTCTGCGAAGTGAACACTATAGGCCTGTTTTTTATAGCTAAACTGCTACACTAGTTTACAGTTTATCTTTCTCTTTCTACTAAAAAAAGAAAAATGATACTAATGTAGCCAGTTCAGCTATAAAAAACAGACCTTATATACCGACGCATACGTGCTTAGTATGGCGGTTAATTTAATTCAATTTTTATTTAGCGATTCTTGATATTGCAATCAATTCTGTTAATAAGAGGTTTCCCCATTTGGAGCAAATTAACTCTATATTTGGTTTCTTTTACAATATGCAAAAATTAGAGAATGAATCACCCAATAATATTTTAAAAGGTTGTTTGAATTTGGACAAATGTCTTATTATACATGGAGACTCGAAGGATATTGATGCTTCTGATTTGTATAGCAAACTGCAAAACATTGCAAGAAGAGTGCCGATAAATGCGAAACCACAGAACATAATTAATTATATTTATAATTACAATCTTTTAGATAGTATACCAAATTTAGTTATTGCTCTTCGTATTTTGTTAAAACCCTTCCTGTTTCTGTAGCCACTGGTGAGCGCAGGTTTTTCAAATTGAAACAAGTAAAAACATACATACGATCTACAATGACCCAAGATAGACTTGTTGATTTGTCAACTTTATCAACATGCAGAACAGGACATTGCTCAAATTATTGATCTAACTGAACTTGTTTCTACTTTTTCTTTGAAAGTTGAAAGCAAAAAAATAAAAATATCGGTTACACGCCTTTCCTTTTGAACTTATATAGATAAAGCCTTCCAATACTATATAAATTCCAAATTTGACTACATTTGGCCACATTTGTTTATTACAAAAAATCGCATTTGAAATCTGGACATATACAGTAGTTAAATGTAGGTCAGATCTGAAATTTTTTACAGGGCTACGTTTGTCTTAAATTTAATCCAACAAGAAATAATAAAAGATTTTTAAAGTTATAAAAAATCATAAAAATATTTAAAAAAAACAAAAAAGTCTAATGTGGGTGTCTAGGCTAGTGTATGACGACAGTCTCAACTCTCAACCCTGTGACACGCAGAGAGGAAATTTGACTAGTTTTTATAAGCTAATGATATTAGTTTTGTTTGTTTGTGTGTGTGTGTGTGTTTAATAATACTTTAATGGGAAAAATAACGTCGACGATTTCTTCTAACTCGAAAGCACTTTTTTTTCTCACGTAGAATGTTTAAATAAAATATTTAAAATATGTATTTGTTCTGAAGGAGCGCATATTATTTATTCGTGTCAATCTTCCTTGCACCGACCCTGCATATATGCATACACATCCTTTCATAGGAAATCAAGTTCTGGGATTGTTTCTTTCCCAATTATCAAGGATTCTACTTCGGAATTGACCGATAGTAACTCAATCATCCAATCAAAAACGAAGATCTATCATCACTCTCGCACTTTATTGCATTATTACGCTGAGAATGACTCCAAAGTGAATCGAAACGTTCGTCTTTTATGTCTTTTAATGTAGGTAATATGAAGTTCTATTATACATATATTTTTGGGCAGCAAGAACCGCTCGGAACTCTCATTTATAGCCTCTCTTTCTTTCCTCTTTTCAATTGCAATTTGCTGTATGTGTATTTCATCGTAAAATAATCGTAAAATAATCTTTTTTTTCTGTTTCTGACATAGACTTTATACTTCATAAATATCCATTAATATTTTTTAAAATAACCTCAGTCAATCAAATGACGCTGCCCATTTGCGAAATGCCGATATTGCAGAAAGAGGATTTTTTCATGCCGCTCGCAGTATACATACTTTAATTCGGACTTACGCTGCATAAGAAGTTGTTGTCTTTTGAAGACCAATGTATCTTCTGCGAAGGATTAAGAAGCATTATTTTGTATTGCTCGGCCGGATTGAATACTGCAGAGCTTAATATTTTCCATGTATTTTTCTGTACTTTTTTCTTCATTTTTGCCTAGCAAGTTTGCGCTGTAAGGTTCTGACTTGTAACTCCAACTTTATACATTTTCTTCTTAACCCTTTTATTTCATAATGTATTTTTTATTTCTGAAACATTGTATTAACTTTTATATCTGCAATATTATAAACGTAACGAAACTACAGTAGATTATAAAATATTAAAGACGAGTTAAATAAATAAGAAAATCGCGCAAAGATTGATTGATGCCTAATAATATTTTCATATACATAGTTAACAAGTCCGATACTTTTGGCACGAAGTCTATACAACTAAAAGATATATTTATGTAAATATGAAAATATTATTAAATTCGTGTTTCGTAGTTAAAAATACATAAGAAATAATTTGATGACCTTAATAAATTTTATGTTGTAAGTATAATTTAGTGTAAGTATAATTTAAGACATTAAAGAAGTAATATAAATTATATTGAAATATTTAAAAAAAACAATAAATTTAATATTAAATTTAAACTTAAATATTAAAATAATATACTGGATTTATTAAGCTCAATGTCGAAATTAGTTTGATAATCAAAGTTAATTAACAAAAAGATTGCACTAATTGTAAAATTCAAAAAATTTTCCCAATTTATATTATCGAATAAATTGTCCAATGCAAATAGACCCATAATAAAAAGAAAATAATATGTTATATATTATAAAAACGAAATTACAAAGTAAATGCATTTGATAATATCTCTAGTTCGCGCGTGCTAATCAAATCAAGGTCATCTAAGCCGTGCCCGTTGAAACAAATATAATTATTATTTTATCCTAATAGAGTCGGATATAATTTAAAAAACAAGAAAAAAAAGTACCATTTCAACCTCCAATTTATTCTGCCCTTAAAAGTTGTAGAGAAAAAGTTACTCGAATAGATTTTAATCGCGATTGCGGGTGAAGCAAACGACCGAAGCAAAAATCGGATCGCAACGAATGAAAATAAGAGCCGCTGAGAATTGATAATTCCGTGAGAATTTTAATTTTTTCTTTTAATCTGCAGCCACCACGTTGAGCATCGTAAAAATAGAATCTCACGATAAAACAGCATGGCACGCATCTCTCGTTATCATCCTGATTTGTCCATACAAAAAATGTGCATTAATTCCGAAGATCACTGAAATATTTAAAGTCTTAATTTGGCTTTCGTTTTAAAAATTTGACCTTAGATTTTAAGATTCCATTCAAAAGCCAATGAAACAACTTTGAATATAGCACGATCTCGAGATTGCAACTTGAAACGATTTTAATCCATGAATAATATGCACTTAATTTTGTCTTTTTTGCGTAAATGATCCATCTGCAGGGGTGATTTTTACACGTTAAAATTTAAGTCACTTGTTAAGTACATACAACTTAACTATTATATATATTATATATTATTGTTTTACAATAAATTGAGATTATTATGTATGTATCGATTTACTCAATAGTTTTTAAAAAAGTAAAAGAAAAAATTTTTAAAAATAAATACCATAGATTCTCGATTAGTAAAGAAAATGATAGTGACGTAAGCTACGTTTTTCTCGCTGATTATAAAAATCACATTCCGGATGAAAGAAAAGTTTTCTCGGATTAGATATAAGATCGAACTATGAGTATACTTTTCTCGGAGCATCGTAAGAGTACTCGCTGGCGGGTCATACACTGGATCTCAAATGTCTCAATTACGCCGCGCGCGCGCGCGCGCGAGGTTTCTTATTCACCCATCCGCTCCCACCGCGCTTTCGTTCCGTACGTCGGTCGGTCGGTCGGTCGGTCGGTCAGTCAGGCAGGCAGGCTGCCTGAGTCAGTCGTCTGGTATCATCCGTCCGTTCGTCCGTCCGATCGGTCGGTCGGTCGCTCTCGCTCTCACGTCACGGGCTCGCGGGGGCCGACCGAGTGTTGAATCTGAATGCTACTGCTGAGTGCGCCGAGTACGCAACGCAGTAAAGAATCGCGCGCGAGGCCAGCCAGCGCGGTCCATCGGCGCCAGTAATCGCCACTTAATCGCGCCCGCGACGGAAGTGCGAGTACTACGATTCCGCGTTCGCGGACCGCTGTTTTTCCTCTGCCCGTCTCCCGCAGTCTACCACCGTCGTGGTGTCGTGGTGAACCTCGTCGCCGTCGCATCTCACCCGTGCCCGTGCTCGTCGTCGCAAGTCTCGTCGAACGACGAACAACGCGCCAGCCTCGCAGATATACATATAGCATGTTGATTCGTGCAGCAGGCAAGTCTCCGTCTCTCTCTCTCTCTTCTTTTCTCTCGCAAGCGTGACTCTCGCGCGCTCTCTCTCTCTCTCTCTCTCTCTCCCTCCACGCTCCTCTCACGCGCTCCTTCTATCTCTCTTTCCCGTCACATTGTCCTACGATAGTTTAATTATAGATACGCGGCCTGTACGGGCCTAGGCTCGCCCAAAATAATGATTGGATCAGCGTTGAGTCCCTCCTCGCGCTCCTTTTTCCCCCGGGACACTTGGCGTGCAGTGTTTTCTGAACGTATCCCCGCGAACGCGGACGGAGTCGAACAGCTGTCGTTCCGGGGCCCCCGAAAGCTTTACGTGGAAACTGCGTTTTGCTCTCCCAGTTCCTTGCCGTTGCTGGCTCGAATGTCGTTCGTAAATTGCCGCACAAACGCGCCAATGTAGTACATTGTGGTGTAGCGTTTGAAATATTAAAATTGTATACCAGGAGGAAAAAGGAGATCTAAACAGACTCTTTGAGGCTACGTAAGATGTCACGAAAGTTCTCATTGCACATTTAAGATTTGTCTCTCAAGTTGCTCAGCAATTCGAGTATTTGAGTAGTACAAGTATTTTTATTGCTGGAGAAATAGAAAATTATAAATAGAAAAGTTCAAGTTACTTTTTGTAGCTGACTGTAAAACCATATGGCGCCAATTGGTGTACTTATAATTACATTTCAGATGGACAAAGTTCATTGTATTAAAGACTCACAATCATGGAAGGCTTCAATGAAGATATTAAATTAAGCGACATCCGTGAGTATCTTGAGCACATATTGTGTAGTATTTAGTGTAGTATTTCCTATAGCTTGTCCAACAAACACTACTTTTAGTTGACGTCATTCAAGCCACCGATCCTGAGTCTATCGTAGCAATGGACGATCACATTCAGCAACCGCACGTTGAGATTTTAGAGCAGCCGGCCAGTAAAGCGCTACGATTTCGCTATGAATGCGAGGGCAGGTCGGCCGGCAGTATACCCGGTGTCAACAGTACACCGGAGAACAAAACTTTCCCTAGTATACGAGTGAGTTGCGATCGGAGTGAGGCTTCGTTGAGCTCCGAGGGGTCAACCACTACTAAAAAAATGTACAGAGTGTTGCCAATTATGGCAATACAACACACTTTATTGCCAGTATTGCTATTGTATTGCTTTCGCATTGTCAGTAATATTGCCTCGTGTACTTCTATTATCTCATGTACTGCCACCTATTGCACAATATTGCCAAGCATCGCTAATATGTTGTTAGGCATTGCTCGAGATATTGCTGTGTATTGATAGCGTATCGCTAGTATTGTATTACCGCAATACTGGCAGTGTATTCCTACAAAAATGTACATTGATTCCCACAGTGGTTGACCTCTCGGTTGAGCCTTTCTCTTCTCTTCTCGTTTCTTACACGCTTATCATATTCCTGTAGATCATGGGCTACCAGGGTCGCGCTATGGTGGTTGTGTCCTGCGTAACAAAAGACCTCCCGTACAGACCTCATCCACACAATCTCGTCGGCAAGGAGGTGTGCAAGCAGGGTGTTTGTACGGTAGAGATTCCGTCGGGAAATATGGTTGTTACCTTCTCGAATCTGGGCATTCAGTGTGTGAAAAAGAAGGACATCGAAGAGGCTCTCAGAGTGCGTCAGGAGTTACGAGTGGATCCCTTTCGAAGTATGTGCAGGCTTTTTTCGTGTTTATTTCTTTATCAATTTAAATAAGTCACAGTTACGAGAAGATATGAATTGTTGCAGCTGGTTTCGACCACAGGAGACACCCGACTCAAATAGATCTCAACGTGGTGAGATTATGTTTCCAAGTTTTCTTAGAAGGATCGCAGAAAGGAAAGTTTAACAGGCCGTTACAGCCCATTGTGTCTGACCCTATTTACGATAAAAGTATGTAATGTTATTTTATATAAAATGTATATACACATTCAGTGCAGGCCAAAAGTGTGGAAACACTTTTCAAAAATTGTCGTTTTTGAGATTATTTAAATACAATCTATAACGACATATATTTTTTTACAATAATTCTTTAAATCCAATAATAATTTTATAACATCAAAATCATAATTTATCTTTATTTTTGTCGGTTGCTTCACATTGTTGTAAGTTATATAATTTATCTGCATCGGTATTTCCAAACTTTTGGCCTTTAGTGCATATGTATTGTGCCGAATATACAGGGATTAACATCTTATCGCATTCCTGCCTATGGCGTGTACAAAAAATTCATAATGCCATTCGATAAAGCATCGCACATTGATGAAGTGTATCTGTGTGGCACCAACATTGTGTACATTAATTAGCATTACAAAAAAAACAATAACGAGTACTGCAACTGAGAAAAACCCCACTGCCCTAAGCAAACGTACATTCAGATGTGATACATTATCAGAAGCATTTTAAATTTATCTGACCATTGCAACCTTTCATGTCTGCAAGGAATTACGGGTCAAAATAAGCCGAAATGTGTAGAATTTGAACTTTTGCAGAATCCTTGTTATTTCGCTTAACAAATAGAGAAAATGTGCGTCTATGAGATGAATATGCTTGTTTATAGTATTATGAAACCGTTTTATTTCTGCAATGAATTGCTTCTCTTTAATGTTACGCTACTTTGTGTCGTTTTGATACTTGAATTTTCGATATTCTCTCGTCTCCCTCGGGCCGATTTATATTTTTGATATCTTTAGTAAAGGTCATTTGATAACAACATTGTGTATCATTACAGCATTTACTAAAATAGCAATGACGAGCATCGAAAAAACCCATTGATCCAAACGAATTAATATTGTATGATTACATTATCAGCATATAGTTTTTGGTAGATATCTACACTATTGCAACACATTGGTATTGAAAAGTCTTGTTTGATTATTCGGCCGAATGTGTTCCGCTTCGGTCTGAGTGTTCCAGTATTATAAAATTTTTGTAACAGGAATTTTTTTCTGCCATGTCTCGCACTTGTGCTTCTCTACCCAGTTTCGGTATCTCTCAAATCAATTTTATAATCTAATTATTATCCTTTTATGTCATCTTTTTTTTTACATATGGAAGGCTGAAAGTCTGGAAATAGAGTTGCCATATTCGCCTCGCGTGCACGGCCATACAAAGGAAGAAGAAGATCGATACTGAAAGAATTGAGGGTCTTTAACGCGTTATATTTTTGATTTTTGGCCTGTCATCTCAAAACGATTGATATTTATTACACCTTATGCTTATTAAGACTTTTTCAATTCTCATATAGAAACTATAAAACTATCGAATGGCATAGTTGATTTTTCTGCACGTTAGTAAGCAATTTTTTAACCAACTCCTTTCTACTTGCGACGTATATACGCTGTTTCAGAGGCAATGGCAGATCTTGTGATTTGCAAATTGAGCCATTGCAGCGCAACGGTTGCCGGTGGCATGAATATGATTTTGCTGTGTGAAAAAGTCGCGAAAGAAGATATACAAGTGAGATTTTTTGAGGAGAGAAATGGGCAACTAGTCTGGGAAGGATACGGCGATTTTCAACCGACGCATGTACATAAACAAGTAAGTGAACAAGGATAGTTGTATATATAAACTGTTAATTACATAACTGCGTTTAGCAAAAAGAAGCAGCTTTGCAACTCTTGTAAAATTCTTTAATTTGATTGGTATTCCAGCAAACATAGATTATAGCCACAATGTTGTTATGTTATATTATAACATTTCAACTATATTACGGAAATGTTACAATATTGTTGTAATATTGCGGTCATAATTTGTGTTTGCTGGGATGTATTTAGATCTGCGAGGAAGTAAAGACAAAAACCGATCATATTAACAAATCTTATAAGTTTCAAAACTGCTCTTCCCGCTGAAGGCAGCCATTATGACAGTTGCAATACAGTACTAGAGAATAGGATTTGTTTGTAATTGTATTGTCTGCATTGATACTGTTCTTTGTAGACTGCAATAGCATTCAGAACGCCTAGCTACCACATACAACAAGTAGAAGAGCCGGTGCAGGTGTGCATCCAGCTTAGAAGGCCGTCGGACAATGCTACGAGCGAACCTCTACCGTTTCAGATGTTACCGCTAGGTACAGGTAGGCCAGCTTTCTGGTCTTTACGGAAAGCGTTTGCCAGGAAGAAGGCAGATTACAGTACCTTCAGTAAAATCTTGTCCACGGAGACTGCTCTTCTTGCCAACGTAACCCCTAAGTTTTCTCGTAATATCGACGAATTCAACAATAACGATCTGGACGCGAAAATACCGAACAATAAGATCTCTGCATTGCGCGCTTTAAACGATTTGTATAACGTAAAGAATCACGTAGATCTGTGTAATGGCGACTTAAAGGCGTTAATAAATTCTGCACAAAACGTAAATCAGTCCGCGAAAAGTGCCGCTTTGGATTATGAGGGTAACGAAATGACGATAATCCCGGGGAGGAGCGTGGAAAGTAATAAAGAAATTAGCAAATTATATACCGGCGGTAATAATGGAGAGAACGATACATTCATTGTCAATTATAAAGAGGGAACTGTCGATGCGATTTCTTATGCGAGATCCAACGCACAAGAAGGCAACACGTCCGCGTCGCGAAATGTAGATAATTCGAAGGATAGGTCAGATTGGTTCGACTATTCGGAAATAGGTAAATGGGTGCAGAAGGGACAAGCGTGCCTTAAGGAGAAGAATAACGAGACAGACGGTGGCAGTAAGCCTGTGTTTAACGAATTCCTGTCGCAAGTGGCCGAGCTCGATCAAATCTATGCCGATACACATAACAAATTGGTGCATGCTGCCACGGAGACGAGTGTCAATCCGCAAATGATGGACATTGACGTCTGCGACAATCAGACCTACACCAGCTTGCAAATGGCCATGAAAAATCCGATAGAGCTGTTCGATATTACCGACGACCGAAAGTACGAGGACGTGGCCGTCCCGAGGCAAGACGCGGAAGTGCCCGTTGCGTCACCGACATTGACGGCCAAGAGAGACGTGGCGCACGAGGCGGAGGAGAGATTGCCGCCCTTGCCGCCGAAGCGGATACGCAAGATGCCGTCGATGCCTCTTCTGCCGCGTCCGATATCCGCTCAGACGCTCGCTCAGACCACCTCCGCCGAGGCACCGAATAAAAATTTGCCGTCCCTACCCAGCAGCTTGTCGAAACACGCGAGGCAAGGGCTGTTCTCGAAGTTGTTTGCTAAAAAGAGCAAGAAGGACAAGTGCTTGGGATCGGATCTAAGCAGAGATAGCGATCCGTCGTTGAACACTTCATACCTACTGAAGAGCTCAATGCAAGACGCCACGCAGTCACAAAGTCCACGTCCCAGTATGACGAGCGTTACGAGCGTTAAATCTCTCAAGCTAGATGACGATGACGATGACGACGACACGCCGCCGTATGGCGCAGATTTAACTGAGGCCGAGCACTATGCGCTGTATACCACTATGGCACCACACGCGACCGCCTCGGAATTTGACGAGATGTCTTTTTATTATAGTCTAGTCGAGGGTGGGAAGATACTGACAGAAGCGAAAGAGACCTAAACTACCCGCTCGTTAGGTGCTTTATCGATCGATTCGATTGACTTCTTTTTCTTTGTTTATATACTGCCAAGTTGAAGATGACTCAATATTTGTAATATGAAACGGTTGTATTGTTTGAGTCCACCGATTTTTTTGTCTGCTGAAATGTGAGGAATGTTGTCTTGCATTGCAGCTGTAAGCTTTTTACCACCGTCAGCTCTTGTTGTAAATTTGCAATTTTGACGCTGATTTAAGGATATTATTACATTTGTATCTTTAAACCAAAGATTTTTCTAGAGAATGGGGGAAAATCGAGAAGTATTTCCTAAGACATATTGCCACGTAAAATGAATCGATTCTCGTAAGATCGACGCATTTATCGAAGTGTGCAGAATTGTAGTCTAGTCGAAGTGCAATTTGTTGCCTTACTCCTTAATATTTTTCCTATTAACGGTTTTTTTTATAATTTGTAAGTTTTCGATAATTGTTATTTATTATCAAATAACTAACTACTCTCTTTCTAGTCAAGCTGTTATATTTTTCGTATACTCTCAATGTACGTTGCTTTACTATATATATTTGTTGTTAAGTTTTATACGATATTACGAGTTTATACAAACATCTTTTCCTTCTCGTGTTGTTATAGACTGCTAATTTTTTAAATGCTTCATTAAAAATCGTTAGCTCAATTTTGTCCAGAATTGACTCTCTCTCTCTCTCTCTCTCTCTCTCTCTCTCTCTCTTTCTCTCCTATTGGAGTGACAAAAATTATTGGTACAATAAGAAAATCCGCGAGGTTCAAATACACGAGGCCTTCTTCATTCGAGAGCAATTGTAACGCGATGTTAACGAGATATAATGAAGATACTCAATTAATGTACAATCATTATAGATTCGAGGCGAAAGAAACCAAAGCCAAACCCCATATTTCCAAGCCGTGTAACGGAAATTCAGCAGCGTGAGTATGCTCGCAGAATTCTTCATAATTCTACACAGCTTATGGGATTATGGTGGCGAAACATCGTTGATATTACATTGTATTATCATCCGAACATGTCCGAATCTCATCTGGGATGTAAAACTCATGCTATTTATCCTTACCATCACGTTTCGCATTGAAGGAGTGAGTGTGTCGGACTGTAATTGTCTGTCTCCACTCGCGATCCTTCAATCCCTTTTTCTATCTGCTGTAATCAATTTTGCCATTTTGATGTTTCCTATATTACTCTTTGTGCAGAAGTTGAAGTATACGCTTATACGCATATGAAACGAGAGGCCTTTTACCGATGAAAAATCTGTGAAGTTTTTGTACATTTTTAGCAGGCCTATTTGGTACATTTGTTAATTGTTAACGACAAACGTGATAAATTTGTTGACAACACTTCTAACACTGGGATATACGAAGTTGGAAACAGTATTTGTACGAACGATTGTACAGTTTTTATGTAAACGGGTTCACAACGTTCGATTGTTCTTACGTGTCATCATACACACTAACCATCTGATTAATCCAATCCCTTTACACTTTGAAAATACGATGGAAAATTTCAGAAATGTTACGTGCATGATATATTCGGCAAACAAATTCCGAAAATTGTTGGTCAACAATTAATTTTCACAGTGGAAAGGGAGGCTTCTAATCGGGTAAAATTTCATTATACCTAAAAAAAAACCACTATACATATATTTTCACATATAGACAAGCAGAAAAAAACTTGTTTTATACTTTTTTAAAGATGTATTTTACATAGGATTTTGGAGTTTGAATTTGAGGGATCTTAGGGAGCAGTGAGCTTGTATATTTTGAGATATGATAATATTGTATTTTTCTATTTACGGATATTTACACGGGATAATTGATTCCGAGAAGCAAGCGTACGCAACGCATCTCTAGATCTTATAACGGGGGAATTTGCCGTAATGATTATTGTGGAATCATTACTCGTGACAATAGGTACTTATAAGTAAAAAGTTTCATAGCTCAAACTTTGTATAGTGCGAGTGCGCTGCTCTTGTGCAATAATATTATACTTTTGAAAGTCAGCTGTATGTGTGTGTGTATGTATATATATGCATATATACGTGCAGCAATTGTAGCATAGTACAATCAGATAATGTGCAATATTTCTATCGTAATATAATATAATTTTTATAAACTGCTTCTTTTGTGAACCAGATAAATATATTTACATATTGTACGAATTACAGTATGATGTAATACATCTATATATATATATACATATATATGTATAATCACTTGGTGATGCAAAAGTGTCTTTTTATTCTCTGCTCCCATACAATTTCAGATAAAAAGTTCATGCTTGATACAGATTGCAGATTCAGGTACGACAGGTAGTGATGTTAATTTAGTGTGCAAACGGTTTTCGCTAATGATTGAAATTGGACAACATATGATTGTTTAGAATACAGAGAATAGTTTTTGCGGGGTTTTTCGAGAAATTTGAAGAGTGAAAATATATAAAATTGCATGTGTGTGACACGTATGCATGAAATCACGCTTCTTCATTAAGGATTTTCCTATGTTTCTATTGCATGCTTACTATTGTTAATATTTCGTAACATCACGCATGTAGATTGAGATCACTTTAATCGTCTAAAGAGAATCAAGATAATCATCTTTTCATAAGCAATGAAAAGGAGATAGGATGCAATGGCATACATGCTTCTTGTGTAACGTTGTAGATCCTAGGAATCCACCACTTAATATCATCAAAGCCGAACCGGAGCAGATACCGTCATTCGGAGGTCCAAGTACAAGTGCGAGCGGTTTCACTCCACTCCTAAGATCGTCGCCGCAGCCGCCCAGCAATATGCAAACCTTATGGTAGATTAACAATCAAGAGATTAAAATAGAATTAAATAAAAAAACGTAAAAAAAAATAGAAACTTTACGTTCGAATGTAAAGTCTCTATTTTTTTTTCTTTTTAAAATGTCGTTATCTATTCGCCCTCGTGTTTTTTCAGGCCTCAAGTATCACCGGGAAGTACATCCCCTATGGAATGTGACCCTACCTATAACTCGCCTTTTTTACAACAATCAATGATGCAATCACCAAATATGTCGGTAACGCCGAACGTTCAATTTCCATATCAGTTGCAGTTACCAGATCAACTGTTACATCAGCCTGAACTAAACTTGCCGACATTAAACAGAGTTACGCCAGAAAATCAAGGCGGATTACAGCCGTTAAATGATATCGGTATAATATCTCTCTGTTTTCAATTTTTTTGCTTGATAATAGCATTGTAGAATTCTCACATCAGTCTGTTGTGTCAATCTTTTAGGCACTGCAGGATCTCCATGTCTGCTAGACTTGGACAGTCAGCAGTTCAACTCCGCTGATTTCGCGGATTTTGGAAACCTCTCCGCAAACTTGTCAACTGGATTATCCATCTCCGATTGTATACAAGTGAGTATAAATTAATATTTCGACCCAACATACTGACGGCTTACAGTTACATGCACAGCGATATGCACAGTATACGATTATTAAATCAATTGTTATCTCATTTCAGCCTGAGACCAGCAACGCCGAAGAAAGAGAAACTAACGAGCGTATTACTTGGATCAATCAGGAACTCTCCGCTTTGAATAAAATACTCAAAGCTAATCAAAAAAACGACGGCTGAAGATACAACTTTTTTTTTTCTTTAACCGTTTCGACGTTTCGCCGCTCTTTGATATGTTTTGTTATCTTCTATTGTGACGATGTCAATTTTATTTGTTAGTGTCGCACATGTGATGGCAAGTTCGAGATTCGAACTTGGACCTTCTGATTGAACTTTGATTGCTCTAACATTGAGCTATTCGTCATCACAGGACATAACTAAAACAACTTATTTTCAAAAAATATGATTTCGCGTCAAGTATATATAGTACATAGAAATTATTAGAGAGAGAAAGAGAGAGAGAGGGAGACAGGCGCTACAGCGTATCTTTTATTCGAATAATAGCCTTGTTGGTAGAAATAATGTACATTTTTAGACAGTTGTTATTGGCTAAATTGGTCAGCGAAATTACGGTTAAGAAACTCACGTTTCAGCTACAGTTTTATACACGTGCTCTCTTCACTGCCTTTGAAGAAATCAATTGAGTTAATTATTTCTTATAAGAAATGAGCTGAAAGAACATCACATTAAACAAGAGCATAGATATTAGACATAAACTTATTTCGATGCTCAATCTGTATCTCGTTTATATCTACATTCAATTTATACATTGTTTAAGGAAATGTATAAACTTTTATGGACAATGAACAAAAGGAGACGCTCTGCTCTAGGCTAAATATATATATATATATATTATCGGTACGCAATTGTTATATACTCATCGGCGAGCATTAGCTGAAACAATATTAATACGGAATCTTGATATTTAATTGCTTTATGTGATAGACAATTTATCTGATATATAATTATAACAATATATAATCGGCGTTTATCTATCCAAGATAAATTGTTCGGTCGGTGATCTGAGACCGACCGAATTGTGGCGCGAAGCATTCGTTTTGCCGACGTTACAACAGATTGAGACGTTATTGAAGCTGCAGCGTTTGATACGAAATATTGATTGCGTGGTGCGTGAGGTAATGCTCTGTCTGTGATCAAAGTTCATAACTTGTTTTTCATACGTATATATAGATTGTACGATATTCGTCGCGAACAAATGCGAATTGCGCGCAATAATGCAAAACGCAGAGGAAATTCGCGCCGAAGGCGGGAAAGGCCGTAAGACGGACAGGCTCGCGCGGGCGAAATACTGTAAATTATTAGATTAGACGTAAACATTCGCGTGCGTACTCTATGCTTATTCTGTTACTGCACTGTACTTTATCCTTGTTGCACAATTACGTTTCTACAAAAAAAAAATCGCACTTTGTACAAAATTAAACATTTTTGACGTATGGTCGGTTGTATTTAGGATTAACGCGTCGACTTACTCAAAGAAAAAGCGTAACGGAGGGTGTTGAGAGGTGTCGAGAGATCGACATACTCGGAAAAAATTTTTCGCTTGAACGTTCCGTCCAGGTACTTCGTTTTACATATGTTTCACAGGCGCTTTATTTAAGAGTAAATGTAAAAGTATAAGAGGAAAAGTGCAATTCTCTAATCTACCGAACAATTTTTATTAGATTAAGTAACATAGCGATGACATTGTTTTGATGTAAAATATATATTTTTACAATCACCTCAGGTAATTTATTATATATATATTGTAACGTGCAGGAAATGTTATAAGGAATCATCTTATATCTAAAAACTATATACTTTATTATTTGCCATATACCTGTAATGTGTAAATAAAAAGTTGTTATAAATATAAGAAAGTGTACGTGTATGTGTGTGTGGCATTTGGCTTTAACAATCTCGCATAAATTCCATGATTTTTATTGCTGTTTATACATCGTGTGTCATGGGTAAAATGTGTCCCTTGATGAAAGTATCGTCATCAGGCGGAAATGATCGAAAACGCAATGGGGGGAAAAAATGAAAAGATTGTAAAACGATACATACACGCATCGATCCTTAGTTTAATGTATCGGATCATTTTGTAAGCACTTAATATCCTGTTTAAAAGATACAACAAAAGTGTGCATATTTACAGTTACGACTGCATATTTACATAACATCGATCGATAAGTAGCGCTCTCGTGTACTTAGCATGAAAAAGTCGGCAGTGAACGCTTGGATTATCTCAATGTAAAAATGTAGCTTACATACATGTGTATATATACGGCATACAACTGTCGTATACATAAATACCACTACATTACAATCTTTCTCAGGCGGCGTCCCTGAATTGCACAAATGTATTCGCGCAAGGATGCCGGCGATACATTATGCAAGTATATAATTCCGCAGAGACAGAGCGGGGAGAAGAAGAAGTAAATTCGCTTCACACACATGTGAAGAATAAAAAAGCCATCCGTGTTTTGTTTTTCCAAAATGTATTTACTTAAAAATACAATGAAAGTTTCAGTTTCTGATGGAATGGGCAGAAATATATATAGTCTGTGGTGTGTCGGTTACTTGTTATTACGTTGAGAGAGAGAGAGATGATGCAAAAATGGTATCCTGTACAAAAGTAGCTTGAACAAGACTTATGAACACACAAACCAAATTCTTAGCCTAGGATTTTTTTTTTTTTCGTTTACGTTAAATCGTGTGACACACACTTATGTCGTTTTTTTTTTTATTTATTTTATATCAGATTTGATGTCTTAGAATTTCCTTTTCATGCTTACCTAACGAACGTAGGGGTGTAACGGTACGTGTGGGCGATCAGCCTGATTGATTGTAAGACCCGTTAGCACCAGTAAGTGAATTTCGCGAGTCGCGTCGAGTACTCGCGAGCGCGAAGAAGAATACCGTACTCCGCCGGGCTTGACACAGTACAAAACGCAAGTCTTTCTCAAGTATATTTTTCCCCTCCCTCCCCCACCCCTCCCTTTTTTCAGGATGCGTGCGTTGCCAACGGGGCTTGGCATTGTATTTAATAAAATTAAAATGGAGACCTATGCTTACAGTATGTATAGTATAGTATACTATGAAACGCTAAAGTACTGATTTTGCTCAGGCACCTGTACTTCAAGATAGTCCTTTGCCAACTTTACCATCGTCAAGTTACTATCTTGAAGCAAACACGTGTAAATACAGCAGCAGATTGCGTATAAAACCGTAGATTAACAGAGACTGCCGGAGATGGTATTGATCTGTACGCATCGCATTGACATCGATCGGCTTTTGTTGGACGCGTTTACACACACACGTTACGGAGAAGGTATTCGAATTTCCTTCTTTTGCACCGTCGAATCGTCCGACGGTGGGAATTTTTATTTTTTTTTTCTTTTTCTCTCTGTAAGTATCAACGTTACACGCGGGTCCAATCTCCATCTCCTTGGTTTCCATACAGCGGGATTTTTAGTCCGTGTGGTTTTATAGAGCAGCCTTTAACACCGCTCGTCTCTCTCCTCATAGTTTATTTTTTTTTTCAGATATTTAAACTCATCACTACTTACGAGAACGAATTCATTTTCTCTGATCTAACTGCGTTTTTATTTAACTATCTCATTCGAAAATATTTGTACATTAAAACGTGGGACATCTTCTCGCATTCAAATTATCGTTACCTTTATTTAATTATTATGCTGCTATGGTACAATGGTATAATCGCAATGTCTCTTCACCCTTTTATCTAACAGTCTCCCGAAAATAAGTAGCGGCATGGACACGCCAATCGCAATGATTCATCGACTCTTGCACAAAGAGCAATCTTTTTTTATATTTATTTATTTATTTATAAAATCGAATCAGCAAAGCAACGTCATCATTAGTATCATCGTTGAGAATCAACATTGTAAGCTAATAAAAATGTATAGATACCGACCAAGTCTCGGTATTTATATCGTCAAAGACATCGAAACGTGGACCATAATATGTGAAAAAGTATAAGCATGCATATACTTTAGAGCATAATCAAGTATAAGAGTGAATAAATACAGAATTCATTCTACAACAGTCCAAGAATCATTGCCATAAAAGTCCACAATAAAGTCGAGATAAAATAGATAAAAGTTAACTGAAACGCTCGAATTACACTCAAATGAGAACATTCGAAAATAGGGAGAGTACTCATAACATAATTGTTAAAATATGTCGAATTTTTTTTCCTTTCGTAATTTCGCGTCATACGGCAGTTCTGGAAACTTATAAATATATATATATATATATATATAGGTATATATATATATATATTTATATTTATATATATATATATATATATGTATAGATTTATCTATGTGTATAATTGAACGTCTTATCGTCTACAAAAATGATATAGTTGGTTGAAATGAAAAGAGAAGGGTGATGGGGCCCTTACACTTTACAAGTTGACTGTTCGATGCTCTCCCTTATCTATGCCCAAGCTTAAAGTGTAACAACCTCTCCGCATTATATTACGTTTACATAATTATCGTTAATAATAAAATGTTTCTTATCCCATAACTTTATACATACTATGTATAATTATTATGCAATATTAAAGTCACATATTATTCATCCATACTACTTGACGCGAGCGTTGCATTTATCTTAATTCCTGTTTCTATACCAAACAGGAGCACGAAGCGGCGTTAACGTCTATTTTTTAAGATTTCCTCATATTTTTAGTTAACACATTGAATGCCGAGAGATGTCCATTCATGCCTATTTACTTTATTTTCTTTGCCGTATATATGTTTACGTATGAATCGCTCAATTCTGCTCGATAATATTATAGCCTCGCGCTCCTGTGAAGACACTGCAATTACACATTTCGATTTGAGAAGAAGAACTCAATATATCACACGTACAAGGTGAGAGACATTCGAACTACAAACGTAAATTTGATTTTTAAATGTAAAAAAATCATCACCTTCAAATATCCATTTTACACTATTTAAATATAAGTTTTTTTTTATCTTAAATAAGTTTTTTTTTTATAAAATTGTCCCAGAAGAAAGCCAGATGACGGCAAATACCAGTTAGTAGGTGGTTCGGATAAAACGATAGATTCGTCTTGGGAATTGTGCACGCATAAACGAATAAACGATCGATCGAAATAAGAATCTAGATTATAGCAAGTAAGATATCAACTCATTGAAATCCTCCAGGACGAATATACAGTTGTCATTCAAACTACCTAATAGCATTTGGTGACGGCTAGACGACCAGAATTGCGAGGAGCCAAGACAAATACAGAATTTGCGTTTGCGTCTAATGCGTCAGCCCACCACAATTCCGGTGAGGTGGTAATTTTTACTTGTAGGTCGGAAGATAGAGAGGATCCAATAACACGGATTGGGCACGATGGATATCAACATTGTTACCAACCACTCAATATGAGAGTAAGTTTGCTGAGTTTGCCGAAAGTCGACCATGATGTCGTCACGTGCCTAACGCCTCCCTTCTTAATTGCATAATGTTTTCCCTTTTTTCATTATGCGTCGTCTTCGTCGTCTTCCACCTCACCTTCTACCTCACCTTCCGCATCATCATCCTCCTCATCTACAATAACGTAACAATAAAAACATTTCAGCGTGAGCGTACATTCTCGTTTAAAGATCCATGCACAGAGATATCACAAGTTGGACAAATCCTCGTTTACCTTCTCCTTCTTCTAAATCTTCTTCGCCTTCTGGTATATCATCGTCATCGTCATCTTCCTCTCCGTCACCGTCTACTTCCTCTTCTTCTTCGATTTCTTCTTCAATCTCTTCTTCTTCTACCTCACCATCTCCATTCTCCTCCTTTTTCTGTTTCTTCGTTTCCTCATTCTTCTCCTGTAACACCCAAAAAAAAACGACTTATTTAACATAAATTCTGTGAATTTACGAAACAAGTAGCGGTTAAATAAGCGAGGGAATTATTACCGATTACGCGCGTCTTGATTGCATGTAGAACATAGATTTATATTCGATATCGTGTCGTATTCTGCGTGTGTAGAAAGAGACATATCTCGTCGTTAGTGTATCAAATAGAAAGGAAGGAAAATTCGGCGCCGGCGGCGATAGCGAAAGAAACGAAAAGAACAGAGGGAAAGCGTACCGGCCGGCGAGGAGAACATAGTCCCTTCCCGCCAAGAAGTACGGTGGCGCGAAAAGGGAGGTGGTGGGGGGCTTTCCCTACTCGCTAAAATACGGTAGGACAGGAAAAGGGAAATGGCGGAGGGAATCGCGTCTATACCGAGCGATCCGGCAGCGCCGAAAACACGAAGAACAGGTAGTAGAGAGAGTATCACCACTTTGCCGATAAATGTTTAGCTTGGCGCGCGGAGCTGTCCTGCGACTTCGCCCCCGCGTACTTCAAAGCGGCGCGTGCTAAAAGTATATGTGTATATGTGCGCGCGCATGAGAGAGAGAGAGAGAGAGAGAGAGAGAGAGAAGGAAAAAGAGAGACTAGTTAATCGTACTTTACATAAAATAGGTAAAAGGGGAATGCAAACTCCGTAAGCGCCTACACACGCGCGCAACGTTAATTTCCCTCTCTCCCTTCCTGCCCCCCCCCCGCCCTCCAAGAGTTGTAGAACCATGCCCTTGATCCAGTCCCGATGGCCCGTAACGGCCATAACGCAATAAGCATCATAGTTTATCGATTTCGAGGGAGGAGAAGGGGGGGAACGACGGCAGGCAGCGAGAGCGGAGTTCGCTCCGAGGGCAACTCGAAAACATGCCGGCAACGAGAATCCCCTCCCCCCCTCCTGAGAAGTCACCCGATATTATCATTTGGCATCGCGATTTATCGCGACAACGCTCGAGATCGCTGCGAGGAAGTTAACAGCGGCACCGAATAGCGGAGCACGTATATCCGCTCCGATGTCGGAAAGTGTCGGAGCAGTGACGCTCACAACGGTTTCCGACATTCGGCATATTCTGACGTTGCTCCGGTTTTGCACGACTGCCGAGAGCCGCGTCGGTAACACCGGACTCCGTGACCATACGGCGTTGCTGACCGATCGTGGTGGTGGTAGTAGCAGTTGACGGTGACGACGGCGGTGGTTGTGGCTGTGGTAGTAGCGGTGACGGTGATAGTAGTAGTAGTAGTGGTGGTGGTGGTAGTGGTAGTGCGGTAGTATAGGTGAAGGTGGCGGCGGCGGTGGTGGTGGTGGCAGCGGCGGCGGCTGCCGGCTGGCGTAATAGCATACACGCGCCGTGTGTATCGGCGGGTATGAGAAAGCGGCTTCGGATGCGCGCGCGTTACCACGCCGGCCAATCGGAAACGGGCGGGCCGGCGACGCGCGGTGGGAAGACCGCGGTGATTGGCAGATGACGGAGCCGCCGAGCGCGCCATGGCGGGGATACCGCTTCGCGCTGCGTGCAATTCGCGAGCGAGCGAGGCGAGCGAGCGAGCGAGCGAGACGGAGTTAACCGGAGGGGAAGATAAGGGAGGAAGATACCGAAGCAGAGCGTGCCAAGTGTCGTGCAACGCGAAGCCTTCGAATAAGAGTATAAATCTAAACTAAAGAAGAGAGCCGGGACATTCCATGAGACGGGATATCACGTGGCGTCGAACGAAGAATTATCGCGCGCGGGGACGCCCCGCTTCGCGCTATCGCGTCGTATAAGCGCGCGAGATCGATCGCGGCGATCGAGTGACAATAATACCGGAAGTAAACCTGCGCCGCCGATTCTCCAATGGCGGCAAATGTCGGAGCAAGATCGAGGCACTTGACGCTCAATCGATGTTGTGACGCTCTTTCCCTTTTCCCCCCTCCTCCCTCATTCTTTCTCTCTCTTTAACTCTACCAGGAAATAATTGTATCACCGTAGATGGAGTCTCGACTTGTTGCGATAAAAATGCTAATGAGGGATCGGTTACCGGCGGCGCGTCTACAAACAATGGTAATCCGATCGAAGAGCTGACGCGCGCGTTACTTCGAACTCGCCGGCGGCGGCTCGGCGAGCCGCCGCCGCTACTCCCATTCGTCAACTCCGCGAGCGAGTACGATACGTCTCTCGACGTGAATGACAGCGGCACGTTTTCACGCCGCGTCGGCCGCTCGACGCCGCCGTTGCCGTTTGTTATCCCCCGCGCGCGCGCGATTATACCTATCTATCCGTTCCCAATCACGAGGTCTCGCAGATAACCCAACGCTCATAACCCATCGCATTAGATTTGCGCGTCCTCGTGTAATTTCTTCGAGCCGAACGATCGGTGCGATGAATACCCGTTACGTAATTATAACACGTGACGATTGTCGAATCGCATCGGTAGATTATCTCAGTGAGGATCGGCGCGATAGAGTCTACGCGAATGCGTACGCTAAACGTTATAGAAGTATAAGGCTTTTCTCGGAATCACCAACGTCGAGTTTCTTCTTATCGCGACAATCTTATCCAGTCCCCGACGAAGACGTGCGAGAAAATCGGTGGAGCAACGAAGGGGACGGTCAATCGGCAACGTGGGCGCGCATTCGAAACGCGTATAGTCGGTAATTAAGATAATTAAGTGATAAAAAAAAGGTATGCGCGCGAAAAATTGAGCGCGCCACGAGAGAAAGAGAGAGAGAGAGGGAGACGCGACGATAACCATTAAATGCAATAAGTTATTTCTGGCTGGCGGAACATCGATCCATAACTGCGTTATCCGATCGACGCGACGCCTTTTCCCGCCTTCTCTCAATAGAGGGAAACGCCACGCGTTCGATCGTCGGACTACGGTCACGTCGTATCGATATTCCTCAAGGGAAGGAGGAGAAGGAGAGGGAGAAGCAGAAAGACAGAGAAAGGGAAGAAAGAGAGAGAATGATTTCAGTAATTCTGGAAAGCCGAAAGAGCGGAGCGTCCCTTTCTCGAACGTACTCACGGCGTACGAACGCGATTCCCCATTCAACTCTTCTCCCTCGACCACGAGCTTCCCGCCTTTTCCCGCTCACCGGTTCCGGAGCGATACTAATCTCATATATATATATATATATATATACACATATATATGTATTTTTTCGTGCATAGTTATATGCGTCATACATGCGCGCGCGCGCGTGTGTACAAACGGGTGTATGTATATATATATATGTGTGTATATATATTCTGAAGAGAGGAACGCTTAAAAAATCGTCCGACTTTTCCAGCGTCTTTCCGCTGTCCTCCCCTCAGTCATTTGCGCGCGCGTGCGATCTAGCAAACTAATAGATACTCCGAAGGAGTTGCCGACGTAATAAGGACGCGTCGACCTGCGTGTGAGAGCGGCGCTCCGACCTTTCCACGTGATGATCGGCAGAGCGGCAGAGGAAGAATCTTACGGCACCACGGGATTTCCGCCGTCCGGCCCGACATTCATCCGTTCATTCTTGCGCTCGTTACGTTTCGCCTTACGCGCGAGGAGACGCAATCGCATGGTAAATTATCGGCTAAAAATACGGCCTATCGCGTCCGCGACGCGGCCGACGACGACGCCGACGACGACGACGACGACGACGACGAGGACGCGACGGGCGGCGGTGTGCCCCGCGATTTAAGATGAAAAATCGCGGCAACGATGTTTTCTCGAAGGTTCGTAGTGACGCGCGCTACCGCGCGCGACCGCCACACAGCCGCGAAAAGAACAGGGAGGTAGGAGAGCACACCGGGTATATAATGCACGGCGTTGCCGCTAGCTGCGCAAGTGGGGTACCTTCGGCGAAAAGATAGAAAGAGAAGGACAGAGCGAGCCGCCGCCGCCGCCACCACGCCGCGCCGCACCGCCGTATGTATGTACGTCGGTAGTGCCGAGAGAGAGAGAGAGAGAGAGAGAGAGAGAGAATGGAGCGAGCGAGAGGCAGTGGGAGCGAGATAACGATAGACCGTAGGAAGGAAGGAGAGAGGGAGAAGGGGAAGAGATATACTCCGTACAAACGGAGCGAGAGAAAAAGGAAGCCTTCGGTCGCGGCATTTATGCGCGCGGATCGGTAAACAATTTCAGGGCAACGTGTCGACCTGGAGTAGATGTACGCGTCGGTCGTCTATCGATCGACCGTCTCGTGCACGATTAACCCTCTTATAGCGAATTATCGATCAATTACGGTAGAAAGAGGACGCGTACGCGCGTGGGAGCGTGACAGAGAGAGAGAGAGAGAGAGAGAGAGAGAGAGAGAGAGAGAGAAAGACAGAGGACGAGTGATGAACGCGGGCTTGGTTTCGGCCGCCATGATGGAAACCGACACGGCGCGGCGGGTGACGATGGTAGTGCGGACGGCAATGGTGCCGGCACGGCGATCGGAAAAATGCGCGGGACGTTCCGCTTTTCCGGATCGCGCGACGCCTGACACTGCCATGTAAAAATGGCGCCCGGTCGGCGAGGCACGCCGAGCACGAGGCGGCATGATGGCAAAAGCGGCGGCGGCGGCGGCGGCGTGTGTGCGTACGTAGATAGAGGGCGCACGGAGAGACGAAAAGCCGCGAGGAGACGAATTCTCGCCGGATGGGAAAGAAAGAGAGATAGAGAGAGAGAGAGAGAGAAACACACGTACGAGAAAACGAGCACATGGCGCCGTAGAGAGAGATTCTCTCCGTTTCTCTCTGATCGTTCCCCCTCTCTTTCTCACTTCTTCCTCTCCTATCTACCTCGCGCTCCGTTTCTCCAAACGCTAAATAACGCTCTCTCCTTCCACCTCCGTGACTCTCCGTCTCTTCCTTTTCCACGCGCGCGCGAACGCGTAGGTTTCCACAGCGTTGCCTCGAATTTCAGCTTCGAAAACGCGAAACGCGCGGGTAATTATAGCTTATTCCGATAGGAGTCGTCATCGCAGTCGTCATTATCATCATCGTCAGCCATCGGGCGAGAACAAGCGAACGAGAGCGTAGCGGAGCGACGGAAAAAGAGAAAGAAAGAGAGAGGGAGAGAGAAAGAGACGGAGAGAGACTCGTCGCGTTTGCGGTGATCCCACAAATACACAATGGCGTCCCTCGCGCGCCTCTATACGCTTCTCGCGATGAAAAAGCACTACGTCGCGCCGTCGTTTGAGAGAGAGACGTGTGTGCCCTGTGCGGAGCCGCGCGCGTCCGATCGAGCGTGCTCGACTACGCTCGGGGTCGCTCGCACGGAAATATGGAGTCGCGGCGGGTAGAAAACGCCGGCCGGCGCGGCGTTCACCTCGCTACGCCGTGTCGTCGCTCGGCGGCGCGGGCTACATGGGAGCACGTTTTGCCACGCTTACGCGCGATCACACGGCGCGGTCCACGGCGCGGTCCACGGCGCGATGCGTAGAAGACGCCGTGCGGGCGGGAAAATCCGTATCGGCCTCTCTCGGTCACGGGCCGCCGCGACGGCGACGGCAGCGGTGGCGGCGGTCAATCTCGGAGCGCGTCCATGCGCGATCTCACGAATGTCCGTCCCCCCGCGACGGATCCGGAGCGACGGCGTGGCGCGCATCGCGTTATTATTCATCCTCGTTATTCACTCCTCCAACCGGGTGTCGCGACGACGAACGCCAACGAACGCCTGTCCTGTCCCCCGTCGCCGCGACGAACGTCACGGGACAAACGTCGTCCCGAGCCGCGTGCCGTGCGACCGAAGTTATTGGTCGCGTATATTAATCGGAGTAGAGTATATATTTGTAACGGCGGTAAGGGAAAAAAAGAAAAAAAAACACAATACTCACCTCGGCTGGCCTCTTGATCCCCTTGATGTCGCATTTCGCGTCCGCTGATGCCTTGTCGTTCTCCGTCACCTTCTCGACGGCGACCTCGTTATTTTCCTTGGTGCTCATGGCTGGTTGAATCGAAGAGACGGCGTGCGCGTCGATAATCCAAATAGCTCGACTTCGCGACTCGAACTGAACTCCGGTGAAGTACGAAAGAGCGGCGGCGGCGTTGGCGGCGGCGGCAGCGGCGGCGGTGGTGGCGGCGGCGGCGGCGGCGGCAACGGCGGCGGCGGCGGCGGCGGCGGCTGCGGCGGCTCCGACGACGGCGGCAGCGACGACGACGACGACGACGGCGTGTACGCGCAACGAGACTACGAATACGTGTCCTCACACGACGTCGGTTTCCGCCGAAATGCCCGAGAGAGCAGCGTCGTCAGGCGACGAAGACCCGAGGGGCTGCGAGGGAGAGAGGGCGAACCAACAGAGTGATGGTGGAGTGAGGTGGGGGGGGGCAAGAGAGCGCACGGTATGGATGACGGTGAAGAGCGGGAGGGGAGGGGTGGCGAGCGGCTGGAGGAGAGGCCGAACCAGTCAGGAGTGTGTGGAGTGTATGCCGAGACGACTGTGGCGCGAATAGCGCAAAGCGGACTACTACCCAGAGATCCCGGCGCGCCCGCTCGCCTCTAAGCACGTCCAACCTGGGCTTTGTTCAAAAATGAAGATGGCGCGGCTTTGAAAGGCCCGATATAAATCCCTGATTGGCCGATCGCGCGATCGCCCGTATCTCGCCGCCGTGGCGGCCGGGTCGCGATTTCACGGCGGCCCACGACGTCCCGCGACATCCCGAAGGGCTTGCGCGCGTAACGCGCCCGCCCCGGGTATAAATAAAATTAAAACTCGCGGAGGACGAGGGGTTCGAGAGTTCGTGGCCCGAGCGTGACGTCCGGTTCGAGGCTACGTCGCTCGATTCAAATAAGCCTTGGCGCTGCACCGCGAATCCTTTTCTTACGTGCAGGTTTCACTCTCGGGGGCCGGGCGAACCTCGCATTCGCGAAAAATCGACGGACGGGATATCCCGTCCCGGAGCGGACGACCGTCGCGGAATGACAAACGCGGGGGGGGGAGGGGGGAGGAGCGGGACCGCGCGACGGTCCGGTTCGCGACTCGCGGCGAATTTCCACGTCGTTCGCGCGTGCCTCGCTCTTCGCGACGACAGCGCGTGCTTGCACGTGCGGTGCGGCGCGGATTAATCTATAGATAGAAGAGGAACGACGCCGAATCACGCAGATTTTGCACCCCCGACGCGAAATCGGAACGTATGAACTTTTATGAACTTTTGCGAAACGCTCGTCGCGGTCTTTTGATAGCACCACGATCCGATGCTCGTTTGTCGTAATTATACCCTAATTAAGCAAAAGGATTATTATCTTTCAGTTTACTATTAATAACCACTTTTCATTGGTATGCGTCAGCAGAAATTTAATCAAAGCAAAATAACACATCCCGATTTCTTTCCTTTTAAAAAACATATATGTGTATATATATATTTGTATATTTGTGTGTATGTGTATAATACATATACCATATCACGTATACACAAAACACACATACATATATATATATACTATATATACATATTTATTATTTAGTGCATGTGTGTACACGTATAGTCACTGCGTGTCGACCAATTGTGCATACACGCGCGTTACTCGTTCAACGCATATATATAAGATTGTTAGGTGGAGATATAAGCCAAGATCGTTAGACTGAAATCCACCGCGCGCGAAGTCGCGCGTTTTATTTGTGTCCGGTGTAACGCGAATAATGAAGGGTAAGCTTAATATAAGATCGCACTTATTGATTGAATGTTTTATATACCAATTTTGATGCCAGTTGTGTGTTAATGGCGTAAATCCGAGATAGCGGTTTCTCGCGTCGAGGGACCGCGTCTTACCGACCTGTGCATCGCGTAAAACCGCAAGCGCAATTTTCCTCCCGCGCAGCCCATAAACACGCGATCGGGATTCGTAAAATGCAACATTGCTGGTTATATTAATAATTATGCGTATGAAGCGCAAAAAATATACTCAAGGTTTCTGAATTTATTGCAACGCAACGAGGGAAGAGCGCATGCGCGGCAGACGCGCTACACACACAGCCACACACCGCGCGCGCGCGCAGAGCGCAGTTTCTACCGAGGCGCCTCGACTTCCGGTCGCGTTACGTCGGTCGTCTCTCTTTTCTCTCGATACGTCAAGATGGTAGGTGATTACATGATCTTCACGAGTGGTATCTTTTATCCGTAAATAATCCGGGAATCGTTGTCGCGGAGCGCTTCGTGAAATTCGCGTTTGCATTCTAATTCTGTTCGGCGGAATTTAGTGTAAATATTTATTACTACCACGGTGCGGTAAGATTCGACGTGGGGGAAGACATAACCTGCTTAAACGTAACGAGCAACGAAATGTTTTGAATCGATGCGACGCGACGACGCGTACGTTTACTCGGAGTTTCGTAGATTATTTACGTGGATTAGAAACCAGATGTGTCTCGAAGATCGATTCCTTCATCGTTCTGCAAAATTATGTTGCGATGTACGTTGGAATTCTACACGGTTCTGTCCTTTATAGGTTAACGTGCCGAAGCAGAGGCGTACTTTTTGCAAAAAATGCAAGGTACACAAGACCCACAAGGTGACGCAGTATAAGAAGAGTAAGGAGAGGCATGCCTCGCAGGGCAGAAGGCGTTACGACCGCAAACAGCAAGGGTTCGGTGGTCAAACCAAGCCTATCTTCAGAAAAAAGGTGAGCGTGTGATGAATTTGCTTAAGTTTACTGTATTTATTTAATGAATATAACAAAATGAATAAAAATATAACTGTAGTATCTTCCATGCAAATTTATAGATGTATATATTAATCTTTATGATGTTCTTTGATTATATAAATTAAAATATAATTAAGCTCATAATCAACAATATTGATAGATTTATTTTTATATTAATATATTTTGCGTTTACTCGTTGCGATGTCTATTCGATAAACTTTTTGTATATACACACGAATGAGATCAGAATCTTATTGATAATTTGTGTGCTTACGATTTATATTCTTTAGAGCCTAAACTACTTAATATTGATTAATGCATCTTATTATATTATTTTAGGCAAAAACGACAAAGAAAATCGTACTAAGAATGGAATGTACGGAATGCAAGTACAGAAAACAAATTCCGTTGAAAAGATGCAAGCACTTTGAACTGGGAGGTGACAAGAAGAGAAAGGTGAATATATAAATATACATCTAGAAATATATCCGAATAAAAATGACATGTGCATCAATTTTGACTTAAAATTTGTTTTTCTTTTCAGGGTCAAATGATTCAGTTCTAATCTACCCACTCAATGCTTTACATTCTGCATTCTGTATTTAATAAATAAATAAATCTATAGGAATTTGTATATCTTTATTTTGAGTTTTGTAATGCAAAAAATGTCCAGTATGCCTAAAATAATTAGCGCATAAAAATGATTTACCTTAATACTTATTCACCTTGATTCTCATCGTTTTCTGACAATCGTGGTATAGAAACTACCTGTTGTGGATTGCTAACAAAAAAAAGAGGGACTAGAGTATTTTCGATAAATTGTCATGCCAGATTGAAACTTAATTCATACATGCACGGTGATAGCAATAATTAGTTTTCACAAAAGATATGACGAAATTAATTTAAAAATTCTATGATTAATATTTATAAATGCAACTGTTAATCTTACCATTTGATATCAAATGTAAATATGTGTTATTAATCATATATGTATATCAATATCGTAATATCTTTCTACACTTGAAGGAAGAGATGTATTTGGACTTACTCTAGTACAGATGCATCCAATCCTTCCTGTTCCATTTTTAATTTGACCGCCTGTTTCGGTACACCAAAGTGCAACATTTTGAAGTACTTTTCATAGCGAGGATCTTTAGCTGCTGACTGAACTTCCTTCTCTTCGTCCTTGGGCTTTGTCTCACTATCGTCAGGCTCGTCCACTTCACATGTCTCTATCTCCTCTAATTTACTCGTATTGTTCTCATTAACATTATTTGGTTCTTTATGTTGCTCTTGCTCTAAACCAGGTATAGAGGATAACTATATGCAAAAGCAGAGTAAAACATTTGTGAAAAAGATGAGTATATTTTGTAAAGATAGATTTATTGTAAAGATTTTCTTTTTACAAAAATTTTTTTACGCCCACAAGAGTACACGTACCCGCGATTCTAATATTTCTAACGACGCCTCTAGCTTTTGCAATTTATTTTCGAAATCGAACAACCTCTCCTCGCAGGACAGGACGAATTTATTCAGAAACGTCACGGTGTGAGTGATAAAGTGATTTATGAAGGAGACCGTGCGCTTTTGGTTGATCGGCGGTACCTAGAATGCAAATCATTTCAGGCCTGCTCCCTGCACCGATTATTATATATGTGGAGCATTTTGACGGGCGTCGTAGAGCTGAGTCGACGGCGCCTGCATATGCACGAGAAACGTGAGAGAAGAATCTCATCGACACCTTTGCATAGTCTATAGTCGGCTCGATTATCGGTATTTTATAATCACTCATCGTGGAATTACCGAAATCTCCGCGCTCTCTCTCGCTCCCTCAGTTTATCAGACCTCAGTTTATCAACAACTGTCAATTCACGTCATGTTAGGAAAACATCTCGGTTTCACTGCGCATGGATTGTGGAGAGAGTGGAAACTGTGTCTGCGTCGCGAATGTTCTATGGTTCTATATAGCCTGATATACAGGGTGACGCAAAACAACCGTGACTTCGTCCTTGAAAAACTATATTTCTGACGTGACGATTTTTCCTTTCACAAAACTTTGTCCGAAGCCTATTATAATTTTCATTATACAAACGCATGTATGGTATGTATGTACATACATACATGTACGACTTCTGTAGTCGAAAAAAATGAACGGTGTGGAAGAAGCCTAATTTTTCAATATAATAAATGGAAATAGCTTATTTATAAATCGGGTACAAGAGGTATAGGCAGAGGTAGGCAGGTGTGTTTCTCCGGCACACGCCACACGCGCGCGTTTACAGAGAACACCTGTCTGCTACGATGATCATCAGCTAATGGATATGACAGTACTGCATCCATATTTTTCAATAGTCGTTGATGCCATATTGTGTACTTTGACTAATTTGTTTTCTCAACAATTATATTTCTAATCAGCCGTCATTCAACAAGACATTATTGATCTTTGAAGAAGGACAGAGTGAAGAAATTAATTTAAGAAGAAGAAAGGTGTGGCAATGAAAATGAAATGCGTCGCCTCTGTCTATCTCTTATATCCGATTCGTAATAAACGCGCGCAATTTTCTTTAAAAAATTAAGCTTCTTAACAATAAGAATAAAGATCTGGCAAAAGAAAAAGTCGTCTCACAACAGAACATCAACTTTTCAAGGACAAGCGGGACTCGATTGCTCACGTCGTTAATTGACCAATTTAATATGAAATTTTTTGATTGGTTGGGCAGAGGAAAAACTCCAGGCACCGGTTTCTGAGCGGTTGTGATCAATCGCAACGTGGTCAAACGGCATGCTGCCTTCAAGGACACAGAATTGTTTTGAGCCACCCTGTATAAAGCCTTGTCCATAGACCATAATGCTAGAAATTGGTCCGAGATTTCGAACAAAAAGAGAATTATTGGTCAATCGCATATAAGGCCCGTATTAGACTAAAGATTGAGATTGAGATTGAATTGGGATTTAATCAATTAGAAGAAAGAAAACTAATCTCAAATTTAGTGGACTTTGTTTTGATTGGTCAAATTCATTCCAATTTCAATCTCAATCTTTAGTCTGATACGGGCTTAAGTCAATTGACCGAATTGTTCTAATTAATATATATATATATATA